TTAATAGAGGCCCGGATTTCTCACGATATTTGTTTTAGACTTTTGATAATTGTCCAATTTTTATCAAAACCATCTGATCAAGCTGATACGTTTGAAGTCAACTACATTGTGATTTTCAAATGTCACCAACATCTTTAATGGATTAGCATATCTGCAGCACTGGAGCACTCGGTAGGCCCCGAGGTTCAACACCTGTCAAAATGACTAACGTTGCGAATAAAGCAGCTTTATTTGACATGTTGAAATGTCAAAGATTTAACATATAATCGGGCAACTTGTACGTCTAAGGACTTGGAAAAGGTTGCGCATCAAAAACACCGCCGTGTTCGAGTAAGTGTGGTGATCATTTGGTAGGTGTCCAGGGGCGAATTATGACTTATAATGTAGCAAAAATACAACGTGTCAAATCTTAATTAAATCTCCATGCCCAATTGGGATTTATGCTCAAGGTATTATGTTTAAGATTATGCATCTGCTGTCATCCGCATGACGACGTTAGGAAAAAAAGCTCTTTTGCCCTCGTTGCAAAACTACGGTTAGATGTACGAGTGAAAAACCAAGCATAACTTTGGCTTTTCACATTTAGAGCAAAAAATCTGTTATTAATTAGTAGTAAGGACAAGGCCTAAAGTGCCAAAGACCAATATTGCTGCATATATCTTAGACAAAAGAGGGGTAAATACAGGAACTTGACACAAACATAATAATAATAATAATAATAATAATAATAATAATAATAATAATAATAATGATAGTAATTCTTATTATTCAGTTAATATATATATCTACAAAATATATTAGCAATTTGAATGCCAACGGAACTGTTAAAAGTGATGAAAATAGTAATTATTATAGTAAAATCCTGAAGTTTAAGATGTGAAAATAAAATGGCTAATAAGATAGTGTATCAAAAGATAATTACAATTAAAATTAGAGTTAAAACTGGAAACAGCAAGAGGGTTAAAACTTTTTTAAGACTTCTAACTTCCTTTAAAAGTTAGAAGCCTTTTGTCACTTGGTAAAAATGTAAACAAGCTAAACGCAGGGTGAAATAAGCCACTCATCGTGTGTGCCCGAATTTCGAAGGCAAGGCATATGTACATGTATATTCTTGGCTGTTGTTATATTTTCGCTGTATTAACCCTAGGGAAATGAGAATTTCTCCATATTAAAATAAAATGAGCAGCAAACAACGGATATTTGACGAACCTGAAATGCAGACCATTCGATTAGTTAGGAAAAGCTCATCAGACCTTCACAGCCCAGCTCCCTCCAGTTATTTCCCGACCAAGTGGAAGGACCTTTACTTGGAGAAACAAGCCACCCGTAACTATGTGATAGAGGTTCATGTGCAAATTTTGTTTGCTCAATTCTTTCTTAACCTTTAACTGGTTAGTAGTTAGTTAGTTAGTTATTTATATTAATCAGAGACTGTTAACAGTTATCCTTCAGATATATCATATTGTCCATATACTGCAAACGAACATTGGCAGCGTGGAGAAATTAAACGCTTCTCTACAAATTTGAAACGTTAAACTGTTTTTCAGCCTCTCTTCACACCTATCACCGTCCTTCCATCGTTTTTATGACAAGAAGTTATAAACACTGCTGTGCATATATATATATATGTATATGTATATGTTAAAGGTGCCCTTTGGTCTAATAGTGGTGGAATGTTTAAAGCTTGCAAGCAGTACAAATCTTTTAACATACGTCTAAAGCAGTAATTTGATTCAACCGAAATGTCACTCTCCTCATTCGATATTACATAATTTCACATACATAACAAAAACTGCGCAAAAGATTACCTTTAGAGCCTATATTATCTGTACCCACAAAATGAAAATGTTGATCTTATGTGAACGCATTCAATTATCTGTGGCGTGATTTCTTCAGTTATGGGGTTAGCATTTTAACACGAATTAATCTGCTTAGAAGTTAGTTTAAATTCCACAGTATGATGCACAACTCCGACAGCAAAGTACGAAGTTGAAACGTATTGTATTAAATCTCCTTCATGAGACACAGGAGTTTGTCTTGAAGACATTCGTTCTTCAGTAATGTCAATAAATTGCCTGGATATCTGCAGTAACTGACACGCGTCTTACTGACCGCATTATCTAGGTAAGACGAACCTTCAACCATGATTCAATGTTTTTGTGGGAAAGTTATTGTTTGCCTTGTCGAATTAGGTTCTTAAAACGCTATGCAGACTGCTAGAACGCAAATGACCGTTATTTGTTGACAGTTACTATTAGATTCTCACGCGAGATTCCACTCTGCTTTTGATTACTTGTGAAACTTGGACAGTGCATACAGTACTTTTTCATAGTCAATATTGTTGCTTTCTTACGAAAACCTTCGTCATTACAATCACCACCCATATGATGCTCACCTACATTCAAATTTAAATGTCTTCATATTCTGTGAGGAGGAAGAAAATACAATGTGCGCTCTGCATTTTTCTTTTGAGTCTTGATCTTTCACAAACACAATTGCAATATGCATATGACAGTAAGAAGTATAGAAAGTATTAATTCTTGCTTTTGCACATGAAACATCGGTAAACATACTGTAAGATTGAAATGTACAGTATGTGTGTGCATAGGTAGGCCTATGCACGTGCACCTGCGAGTGCTTACCTTTTTAGCGTACCTTATATATATATGTTTGTATGATTGTTTGCATTTATGTATGAATGTATGAATGTATTTGCGTGCACCTGTCAGACCAGTGATGAAGAGGCATTACTCCAGCATTACAATTACCTACAGTACACTGACGAAAGAAACGAGGGCGTTGGATAAAATGTAAGGTGAATAATATCTCTTGAACACAATGCCATCTCCAGCAGGCTGACAAAACCAATACAGGGTTTTAACACACAGCTCACAACATGTTAAAGTTCAACAACAGAACATTTCCAAAGTATACCTACTAGACACTTTTCTTGGAAATCACCCTGAGCAAATCTTATCTGTGGCGTCTGTTATGGATGGGTTTTTTAAAGAGTAAAAGCCCGCGGCATCAATTGCTGATTGAACTGAAAGAAATGCTTTATTATGAGGGCTTTCTTATTCTGCAGAAAGAGAAAGATTCAAAGTGACTCGCGGTGCATTTAAAATAAAACGACAACATACTTATCGATACGCTTTAATACCAGATATTGTATTAATAAAACCTCATTTGATATTTTGTTTACAATTCAGGGGGAAACGAGGTAAATTTGGCAAATAATCAATAAACCATACGTCGATTACGAGAACAAGCTACTGATTTTCATTTTTAAATGGGAGACGGACTATTATCTTCTGACTCTGGGAAAAGCTTTTATGACGCCATCACCCCAACTAAAAACCATTTCTTTATACTTAGCCAAATTAAAGCCGTTTAGATGTCAAATGAAGCCCAATAGTCTCTCCATATCGGCGCTGAAAAATCAGCCACTCGCAGTTTTCCGCTGTATTTCTCTGACATTTGAATGGATTTCTTGACTAGATGTTTAACAGCGTTGAAAGCGTTTCGAGCAGTGTATTGGAAGTAGCCTTCCTCATTGATTGAAGCACAATATATATTTTTATACCGCACTGACGGACAGATATAGAATCTATAAGCTGGTGTTAAAGGGACGCTGGTCTGTATGACATTAAACCTTTGCTGATTACTTCGTTCCTCCTAATCAAATACCTGATAGTAAATGTGCCTACCGCTGGGGTTAGCCCTTCATTTTCTATGACTCTCTGGTGCCATTTATGCAGTGTCACTGGCATTTGTGTGCAGGGTGGCACACATCCTAATGTCGTTTTAGGTGTTTATTTTCCTCTGTGAGGCTTTTAATTTATGATGGAGCTTAGCTAAAGGACTGTCCTTTCTATGCCGAATGAATAAAGGGATATCCAAGATATTCATTTTCAGACGGGTGGAATTATTGATAGTGTATGTAACAGGTTTCGTTGGTTCGCGTTATTTTAAGCCATGTCGTTCTTGATTATTCTTTGAGTAACGGTGAAAAGCATGAAGCAAGTCTGTGACGATGTAATACAATCCATCTGGATAGGAACTCTCTATTCCCCCAAGACTTAATAATTTCTAAGTTTTTGAATAACCTGAAGTTATTGGCCGTTATGATATTTATTGAATAATCAGAGACAAGTGGAAACGTTTCACATTCAGTGTGTTGTGTCGAAATGCACTTTAAATTTTGTGGGGATGTAGATATTTGATACGCCTGAATAGGGCTTATGGCCAGGCCAGAACAATGAACAAAAGCCTTTTTGCAATAAAAATATTATAAAATACACATAAAACAGAAACTGTTTTACGATCTCGGATTTAAGGAAGATAATTGTTTAATTTGTTTCTATAACTCTCAATCTCTCACTCCCCCAACGTGTTTGCTTCTAGCATGTGAAAGCCGCTAAAAGCCTGTCATTTGTGACATTTAGTTTATCATATGGATAGCTAACAAAATAAACAACAAAATAAGGCAATGTCGATAGAAGTGGTTTACAATCACCATACTCAATTTTCAGTTTTTTTAAAGTTTGTAGTGAGGCAGATGCTTTTTTGACATTTGTAACTATCTTTTACACAAGTGTACTGATTGCTATCTAGTTTACAAGGTGAAAAGCGACAAGTTGAAATCTAATTTTAACAATTCTCCTCACATTTAGGACATCATTTTTTAAGCAGCTGTAGCATTGTTTTTTTAGTATTTTAGAATCAACGCAACAATAGTATCAGTATTCAGAAGTTTTCAAGTTAGCGATGTTTTATACTTTGACAGTGGTATGGCTGTCACGCAAAGAGATTAAGTTCTCACGACAGCAATATCCATAAACAGCGTTTATACCTTGGCAACCGCTATGGCTGAAGCTGGAGCTGTTCTCAGTTGCTCTATGGTATGTGTGATTTCAAGCGATCTGATTGGTGCGTATGATGACAACAGGTGATAGCAGACCGTAGTGTATGTCTACATAAATGCTACGCCGAGTGGTTGGCAGCTTGTTGCCGAAAAAGGTTTTCGAATGTTTGGGGGAAAAACGAACTAGTTGAAGCCGGGCACTTTGGGGATACTTATGTAAGTTGTGACTGTGGTCTTTTGATTTTTTTTATTAGTTTAGTTGACATTCAAGTTTGACGTTTTTTCCGACTTATAAAAGTAATGTGGCACTCTCATTCTGCTTTACTAGTTAATGCAATCAGCAACTTAGGCTTTCTCAAAAAAAATATATTTTATCAGAACAATGTTTTGTTAGGGTATAAATATAGTGGTCACGACAGATGACTGTATGGATTAAAATTAGGATTGTATTTTACCGACGGTTATCTTTGCAGTAAAAATGTCTTAAGTACAAAATCGTTCAGAAGTACATCGGTTTGTGTTTAGAAAATACGCATAGTAAGAGTCAAGTAGAGCGAGGTTAAATGAAATAAAAGCCTTTCGTGCCACAATGAAACGCCTAAGAAAAACATGAAGTAAAGGGTTTAGGAGACAATTACTCATTTTTCCACATAGTGCTAGTTATTTCATCGAGCTCATATCATATTGAATTACGAAGAGTAGCTTATCAGAAATTTCTATAACCGCTCCAGTAAATATGAAGAATGCACTGGAGAATTTACGTTAGAATGCCAGTACGTCCAAGTAGGGCCTACTCTGACAAATGAAGGGTCACACAACAGATTAATGCCCTTCCAGTTGCTGGATCGTCTCTGTACATGGTTATATTCATAACAATACTTTCCAATGTTCAGGTAAATATTAAGACCATTCTTTAAGGATGCATTGGAAGTCATTTGTGGCAAAGAATGGCCAAATACCACCATATAGTTTCAAGTAGTGTTACTTACAGATATACCAAAGGATATCATTTCATATTACCCAAAATATAATATTTGATAGGGATCTGTGCTGTTTTTAAACCGTGACAGCAAAGTAGGTCAATTTACGACCAAAAATTTGAAAAAAGGTGCAGTTTTAAAGCTTTTTTTGTGGCTTGTCGAGTTATAAACTCGGTTTATCCCTTAGCATGTCGACTTTATTTGAGTTGTATAAGAAACTAGCAGTCATAATCTATATGTGTTACTGGGAATACACGCTCGGTTCAAATGTATCTTTAAAATCACGAGATATCAACCTCGTAGACACATATTCTATTATATTATATTTTAATCCTGTTCCTCCTGGGTGATATAAAAATACAGAAAGAGCCAAATAGATTGTTATTTTAGATATAACTAAGTAGAAACCCGTGTATATCAATATTATGCCAAGTTTTCCATTCATTTTACTAGCATTTCTTTGAATTTTAGAAGATGATTTATTATGCTTCATTAATTATCGAAAAGAGCACTGAAAGGAGATGAAGGTAGTTTATAATAATGGTACGATCTTGACTTTGTTACAAAGGATCTTTGATCAAAGCATGTAGGAAGCAAATAGTAAAGAGTTGGGCGGATGTTAAGCCGTTTATAAAAATAGCGACTAAAGGGTGGTAGGCAAATTGCTTATTCAAGTATACATCTTAATTAAAGAAGTGACCAGAGTCGCTTATTCTCCCTTGCTTCCTGCGCGTAGGATTGCTCTCCCCCCTACACTCCGGCTACTACGCCGATGGTCTATGACACAGATGAAACGAATAATGCTCCTCAATATCTGATAATGTTCCATCTGTGACTGACTGCGCAATTAATACACGCATTTTCTTTCCAAAGATATTATGCTGATTCCCGTTTTAAAGGTGAAGTATTTTACAGTCGGTGTCTTTTCTACCGGATTTGTCATTCAATGTGGTCTGAGCTTTTAAAGAAAATTCGCTCGGCTGCAATCATGAAGATGAACACATCGATAAACAGATCGCAGTTTGCCTAACATATACTGTTTGAATACAGATATCTCTAGAGAACGTAACTGAAAAATTTGGTTTAACGCATCATGCGGTTGTACACAAAGGGTTTTATGCCAATATTACAGGCCATGCACATTAGCACTTGCTAGTAGACAGGTCATGTTGGGATCTGTGATTGAAATATTGGCGGCAACAGGAGATGTTGGGTTTCTTTCTTTCATTTTACTTAACTCAGTAACATTGTACACAATCAAATATACGGTTTATTAACCGGTGAGCGACTTTAAGGTTTTCTTTCCAAATAAATGTTATAGTTCAAAAACGCTATTCTACGTGACAAGATCCAAGCTTTTTCTGCTGGTTTTAAAAAAGTATTTCCTTATCTTTTGTTTCAAATGCAGATATCTTGCTACAATACCGGTCCGAATATTGCGACGCGTGAACCTACTTAGAACTCATTGCCGTCAATACCAGTACATAAATATGGCCAGTAAATTTTTAGGACGAAGGGAAACATCTAGAAATAGATATAGTCTTGCAGTTTTACAGTTATATAACATTTCTGATTAAAGTCTACTCTGCTTCCTGTAAAGGCTTAAGATTAAGTTGATTAAAATTGTCAGAAAAGTCCACGCTTCAGTTATTGACGCTGTTATTTTGTTGCCACGACCGTATTGCAGTGCATAATTTGTATTTAAAATTGGCATGATATAGAACGTGTTTCTTGCTCTAAAGTATTTGGAAAGCACTTTATCGAAACTGATGAAATTATAGAGGGATGGAAACCACAACAAAGATCTTGTTACATTTTTTCAATTTTGAGATAATGAATTGCAAATTTATCTTTCTTTAGGATGGATCGTCGACACGAAATTGATACTTTCCTCTAGTAGGCTTCGTCGTCATCATCATTTCTTTCTCATTTTGGCTTTTGTATGTTCTCCTTTTAGAACTTTTTGCGGGGAGACAAATCTTGTCAAGAAATGGCAGACGATTTAGACTAGATTTCCCGCTGTAATCAGAAGACGTTAGAGCGGAAGGTCGTTGTCCATCTGCTTTGTTATAGGGCTTCAGTTCACAGATACTTGGCCATTAACTTGCTTCATAAAATATGTCAGGACAAAGAACGGCAGACTGCTATGTACATGATCAAAGGTGGTTGGTAAAGATGCGCTTAATTGCGTGCTTAATTACACGAGGTTCAATAAACTTGTAATCATTGACCGTGTGAGCGTGGTGACATTGCGAAAACCTATTGACGTGTACCTGGGTGTTTATGAAGAACATGCAATTTATCATCACCTAATTGATGGTATATTGACAAAACTAAAAATAAAAATTCAAAGCACCTGTTCTTGGGAATCGATGTGTTCAGGGAAAATGACTCCGTGATACGAGTGTTTATGATTATTATATACATATAAACACCGTTAGAACTCAAACTAATTTTCCGCTCACACCTACCTCAATAATAACCGCCAACCAATTTGTTATTGCTACAGTAATGATCCCCGCTGTCTTGAACCAATCATGAAGAAGCATAAGATTTTTATTAGCTTTTCAGTAGTGTATACATGTAGCACAAAAAATTTGAAGACTCAAATCTGGAGACATCTGCATTCAAGAATGAGACGACACTAAAGGAATCTCCAGATGTACATCTGATTTAGTTTAAACTGACTTGGTAACACCATTGGCCTATATCATTTGTAAAACTGCCTCGATGAAGTAATTCATAACCACCCAATGCTTAAATCCATGATAGTCAGGTTGCATCTGTCATCTATAAAAAATTCGGACATAGTGCACTTTTTGAGAAGTGCACGGCCGATGTTTTACTATTTTTCAACAACTAACAGCGTGGCTGTGTCAATCTAACCCTTCAGAGCCGACATTTAAGATTAATTTGATCAAACGCGTTCTTGTGAAAATCATGTTTCGCGTGAAACTTCATTAACGCAAACATCGATACCCTCGCTGGTTATGATATTTTGTTCTCTATGTTCGTCCACTCAGATTACCAGCGTTAAGCGAGATAATTATAAAAATTCGATGGTAATAACAACCTGTATTTTAATGATCAAATGGATAGCTTTTAACGCGTCAGCGTCATTTAAGGCAGGTTTCTTGGAATGAGCCACGGATTGAACAGAATCCAGAATTACAGCCCACTGCTCATTAAGACCTTGTGTAAGACTTTCCTGCTAAGGAAGCAGAAGTTTACCTTAATTAAAACATGTTTCCAAAGCAACGGTTGTTGTTTAGCAGGCAGGATTTATCTTGCCGTCATTGCCATTTTTTTCGTATCACGAACCAAGAGGTCCATTTAATTGTAGGTTTGTCGCTCAAATTGACGCTAATTGAAGTTTATAGGTAAATTCCTTCCCTTACCTTGTCTCTAGAGTCTCAGCCTTGCTCTCTTTTGTAACAGTAATTTATTTTAAAAGGCATTGATTTTCTTGGTAACAGTGAATATAAAAATATGGCTTGAAGATGCTGCTTTTATGTTCCTTTTCACCTTACGCTACATGAAAAACATGTTACTAGCACCTATTTAGACCTGCTGGAATTAGTTTTTTTGAAAAAAGATTGGCTTAAGAAACATTCAAACAGACAATATTTATAGTTCTGGAAACGAACCGACTCTAATGGTATAAACTTCTCGTAGCGGATGGTCATCGATTTGGCTCCAATCAGGGTCATACAAAAGATCGTTTGAAAAAAAAAAAAAAAGATACGGCTCGCCTTGAAAATGAAACCAGAAGCGCGTTTCTCTCTCTCTCTCTCTCTCTCTCTCTCTCTCTCTCTCTCTCTCTCTCACACACACATACACACACGAGATGAATGAATACAAATTTTTAACCTAGGTAATCTAAAGGCAGATCACTCACGTGGTGCCTAATGTTGATAAATACGAAATATGCCTGAAGAATACCCTGTTGTTTGCTCATAATTGTTTTTTTTTTACACAACGAAACCAGAATAAAGAGCAAACGCACTGGGTCGATTATTGCCAATAACTACATGTACCGTATTTAGAAATACCAGTCGAGAATCGGGAAGCTACTGAGGCGATGCAATGGCTTGTAAAGAACATGACTGTAATTGAAAATAGACAGGAAAATGAAACTACGCAGACAGAGTAATTAGGATGAAAACACAGAGGATACTGCATGTAGTAATTTACGGGAGACGTGCAACAATGGACATAAATTCCGACGCCTTAGCGTCGAAAAGTCAATCTTCAATTAACTATCATTTAGACATGCTTAATTGAATGCTGTCACAGATTTGGTCTCGGACAGAAGGATAAACACGTGCATAATTCTGCTCTTAAAGATGAAGAAAATCGATTTAATGTCATTTATGTAGAACGTTAACTGCGTTGCGTTGATAATCCAACACAGTAGCGTCACTTGTAATGTCCGCATTGGGCTAAAGCATAGTCACTCTCAGTTGAGGCATATCGCGAAAAAGCCAGTTTTATGTCAAAATATACGAAAAAAGGGTCATACACGCTGTACGGTATGACGTGTGTGAGATCGTCAGCTGTATTTCGGTTGTCAACTGCTCCAACATGCAGCACCTTGACGATGACACGCTTTGAAAGATTTTTTTGCTGTAGCGTCGAGCGGTTTCTCGACCTCCCGAGCTTTACGATTCTAAGTCAAGATGAAACTCCCGTTAAATTTTTAACCCCGTAGGCCGTAGCAATATCATAGATGACATTGCAAATTTCCAGTACGGGTACTGCAACCGATAACGTATCAATCATCAAGGAAATCAAGGAGGGTGAACAGCAACTGCACTGAGTTTGAAGGGGTGCCATATGCTCATCTTTCGACCGATTAACCGAGTTTTCTCGACCTGACTTGAAAGTCATGATGGAGAACAAAAGGCCGTACCGGGGCGGATCCAGGATAATTTGAATGGCGGGGTCCCCCCCCCCCCCCCCCCCCCCAAGGGCCTGGAAAATTTTTGGTATTTTAGAGGGCGAACGGTGCCATTTGGTGCAGTTTAGAACTAGGATTCTGCTAGTCTAAATTCTAATTTCAAGAGGGGGCCAGAAATCGAAGGAGGGGGGATGTCAGGACCCCCCCCGTCCTCCCTCTAAATCCGCCACTGCCGTAGCCCGTCGATATTTACAATGTAGAAAATCGCACGGAAAATTATATACGATTTTGTTGTGCTGCCCCGGGTTCATTTCCCCCAACTACTTGAATTTGTCTTATACCAAACGTCCATGACATTATTTTTGGCTTCTTATTTGACCTAACGTCATGGACAACAGTATCATTTTATTAACATCAAATTTCACAAAAATGCCTACAATACAATTCCATGGTACAGCGGTTTTATACTTATTAGTCACATTATAAGTAGACCAGGCATTATAACTACTCAAGATCTACCTACTTTGATTACTCTGATTCAGGGGGTGACACTTCTATTGTCCATTGTGTGTACTCCTGCAGATCAAAATAGTAGTGGCGGAGAATATGTGATGGGTTGCTAAAACAACTGCATAATTTTCGAAGGAGACCTGATATACATGTATGATATTGTGGAACCTACAGAAATAGCTTGGAACATTGTTTATTTCCTATAAGAACCCACGGGGGATCTTTACATGAACTTTCTGGAGTCCAAAGGAAATTAACTATAGGAAATATCATTAGAAATCTGTAGGGAGAAGCAATAATAAGAAAATTTATAAAAAGCATAGCCGTCGAATTACTGGAACGAAATGCTCCATGAAGACGATTTTGTTTATACCTGCAGACTTTTCCTGTAATGCCAGTGCTACGTAAACGCGGTGATCAAACTTTTTTTATATCGGTCATCCGCACTGATATCCATTAATATTGTAAACGTTGGAGACATCTGTATGCGATCTCGAAATTAGATGTTTTACGTACAACTGCTGTAATAACATGACAGTATTTTATGCATGACATTTTTAAGTCATATATTGGTCATTGATAAAGATCCTTACTGAGGATAAAAAAATTAGAATCCTATTACTGCAACATTCATTGTTAGGAAAACAATGCAGAATCTGTAGAAGCATTATATACAGTAATGGTTTTTATCACCTTGGAGAATTTCAATTTTCTTCCATTTCGTCGTCAAATCTTTACACTCGTTACCAGGAAAAGATTCTTATCAAAACAAATGACGTTTTATCCACTTTGTATATTCAAAACACTGTTCATTTCTGACTAAAGAGCCGATAACCATTCTTACAGATTTTTAGATAGCCATGCTATCATGCTTAGATAGCCGTTTAAAGATTTGCCAGATGCCAGGAGCAACCCAAAAGAAACCCCTATGGTTTACCTTGATGTATAATCTACTTATAATTCGTGTAGCAAAACTATTTTTGCTTTGGCTTTTAAATCCTCTAAGTGCTATGAGACCTTTTTTCCCCGTTGCGTATAAAAGTGCCGATGTTGTTTTTGAGAGGGCCCCTGAATGGTGTTTGGAATAGTTAAATGGGATTTCCCGCCAAAATGAATTGTTAGAGATTCTCTCCACTCGTTTCAAATCCACCCACAGTCACATGTATGTTCTCTAAAGTTTTTTATGTTTCAGACTGTAAAGAAAATAAAGACCAATAAAGCTCTTTGAATTAAAGTTAATATGAAGCGTACAGTGTGCCGTTATTATTTTTTTAGTCTCACCAAGAGCCATTGCCAGCTTTCATCGTTTTGTAACATAAAACAACCCACCTGTGTGAAAACGAGGCAATCCGTGTGACGGCAAATGCCGTTTATAATAATTAGCCAGGCAATTATTCTAAAAGTATTCAGTAGAAAGTCGAATAAACCATCAAATCTAAGTGCAAGGCTAAGAACGGGTCAAGCAATTAATCGTGAGTAGGAGGAAAATATCTTTACTCCAGGAAAATCCCGTGGAGTTTTCATTTAAATATCAAGTATTTATGAACATAAAACGTAAGTACATTATTCACCAGAAACGCGATTTTAGCTTCGTTTTTTCCTCAACTGTCTTGGCTTTCCCACCTCATCTTACGCACTTAGAAGTTTTTTTTTCGCAGCGACCGCCATATTCACGTAGCACGTCTACGACCTCAAAGTCACCTATCACCCTTTCAGCTATAAGACTGTATATTATCGCAAATTTTAAATGCAACTCTTATATAAGGGACGGAGATCCGGGGGAAACCAGGCAGTTTTTTAAAGAATATCTCTTATGCCTCCAGCAGTCATATATTTCTTGGTAAAACGCATTTCTTACCAGGTCTCCAAAAGGCACCTCAAGTAGCTACATGTATCTAATTGATATCAGCTACGTGGATAAGATTATTACAAGTATCAGTGCGTTATAACCCATGGCACCGACGACACATTAGTCTGCCTAACAGGGAGATTGTGTAACGTATCGCAGGTGACAAAGCTTTGATATCATGTATACGGTCGGGGTTGCCTTGCTAGTCGACCATGCTCAAGAATTTTTCCGGAAATGATAATAAGAAACATGAATGATGGCGACATCAAAGGGTAACGCTGCCCAGGTCACGCTCGGCAGTCGCCTTGATCGGTTAAAACACACACCCACACCAACCCACCCAACCACACACACACATGCACACACACGCACACACACACACACACACAATTTGATACATTTTCTGAAGTTTGTAAAGTCCATTCACCATCAAGCAAACAGAGAGACGATGTTGTTGTTTGGCGTTTGTTCTTTTGCTTTTGACATATTTTACTTTTGTGCATTTTAAAAGCTAATAATATGCTTATTTATACTGACTGAACCCATGTTAAGTGTTGACATAGGTTTACAACGTATCGTTATTGTTTAACTAGATTGCTGGACGATGTGGAAATTAGGTATTTTTGTGTCTCCGGTAATTTGTTCAGAACTGTTTATATATTCCCGCCATTGGTAGACTGAATTCTTTCTGTCATCGGTGACATGGGTTATTTTTTCTATGGTTATGATGTACTATGCAGCCGATTAGGATGTTATATTGCAGCTGTGAATATGAACAACAAAATTGTATTACAAAATGTTATTCAATGGTCTGGTTCAGGTTTATTAACAAAAACGTGAACCCCAGATTCTCTTCAATGATTTAATGGGTTTTAAGTTGAAACAAAAACTATTCTTTTATATCTTTGATATCTTTGCGTTTGTCACATGTTTCTCATTAAGATTTGTTCAATTATACATTTTTGCATTCAGACAGTAACGCATGATGGGCCTTGAAGAGCTTGATGGCGGTGACAGATACTTAGTGCTACACTGGCTTAATGAACGTGACATCCCCAACAACTCCGACATTGACTGGACAACACCGCATATCAAAAAGTCAATGCAGGATGTCTACCCGGTATTCCTGTTTCTGTTCGTACTGGTGGGACTGTCCGGGCTACTGGGAAACCTGACTATCATTGCTGTTGTCATCAAACGGGGGATGTACAAAGACCCTCTTTTCTTTCTATTAGGCAATGCCGCACTTTCAGATATTCTTAAATGCCTATTTGTTTTGCCGATATCAGTTTCGAATCTGACTCTCCAGGACTGGATATTTGGCAGCTTTTTGTGCTATTTTTTACCCATGATGCAGAGTTATCCCAATCATGCCTCAATGCTCACATATGTCGTAATCGCCATTGACCGTTACAGGAAGGTTGTGTATCCAATGAAATCACGGGTACCCGCGGGCCTGTGCATCATTGCCATTTGGGTTGTGTCGCTTTGCTTGGTCCTACCCTATGCCGTATATGTGAAGTACCTTGATATTGGCTACTACCTACCGTTATTAAAAGGAGCGGCTATTTGCGGCCTGAACCACGAAACTCGCACTGAGGACTTCGTACGGGCTATTTTTGTCACACTCTACATTTTGCCTTTGGCTTTCATCAGTTTTCTGTTCGTTAAGGTTTCAGCTGACCTAAAATCGCAAGAAACGCCGAACAGCTTCGAGAATTCGTGCCGCGAACCAGTGATAACTTGGTCTCGAAACCATGGCATAGAAGCAGAAGGTAATAGCGGAGATTCCAATAATTATTCTGTTTTTGCAGAAGAGACGGATGATTTGGACGTACGTCAAGAGAAGCAGACCCAAAAGTACCTTATCTGCATGGTGGTGACATTTGGGCTGTGTTGGTGGCCAGTGCAGATTCTTGACTTGGTAACCAACCTTGTACTTGAAACCGAAGAAAATACGAGCCATTTTGACGTCACTTACACTACATTCGTCCTTTTTGGGTTCCTCTCAACGTGCTCAAATCCGATTTTGTTTGCATCTTGGCAAATGTCTCACTCTACGAAAGACAGACTGAAAGGATACTTTCACTTCAGCGGCAGCAGAAGAAGACATGAAAGGCGGCAGAGTGAGTCCTCCAAGCTGACTCAAGGGTCGTACACTATAGACAGCGAGATCAGCAGAATATCTAACCAAGATTGAAGACAAATGTAGCGAAGACATTCCATAATTATGTCACTCACCTTCTTTACACAAACATAAGAACGCTTCGAATCATATGTTTGTATCCGTGTGTCGCGTATTCCTAGACATACATAAGGACTAATGGATATAAACTGAGAAGCACATGTCAACGGAAGTGACTTTATTCGGACGCATCGGTATATCTGGATGAAATGTCGTAATGAACATTCGCACAGACGACGCAAAATTCCACAGACATAACAACCGTGCGTCAACGAGAAGAAAAACAGAAAAAGAAAAAAATCAAAAGCAAGAAAGCAAGTAAATAGAAAGGACGACAAACAGAAATCGGCACGCGTTTTCAGATGCTGCGCATTAACGAAGAAGACAGAAAGAAAGAACGAAAAGAAAGATAGGAGAATCGGACAGAAATAACGAAAATAGAGAAATATGTAGCTAGTGTGAAATCCCACAGCTGCAATACAATATTAGGCCCCATGGCAGCTGACTGGCTTTAATGCAAGTTGCACCTACGTGGCAGTCACAACAGATATCCATATTTGAGCTTATTGTGCGTGACATTCCACATGAAGGATTTGTTTTTGACCCAGTGAAACGTTATCAGAATAAGAAACTGAATGACTAGGAGCGGATTGCCAAAGAAATCATTGTTTAAGGCGTGAGATATTTCAGCTCTCAAGCTGTGTTGTGATATACCTGCAAGACAATGCTAAATAATGGAGATGTTATATAATGAATATCGAGATGACATATAATGCTATGACATTATCTTGCATGATTACAGATAACATTTTGCTTTGATTTATTACTGCTAATAATCAGACTTTAGCTTTATCTTCATCGTTTGTATAATTGTTTACACTGCTTTCAAGTGAAATTATCATAAACAAACGTAAAGAGCTGAGTGAATGTTTTTTGTCATCCAGTAGAATTAGAACCAAATGCATGTATATTAATTGAACTTACCTTGGAGAATTCAACGACAAAAAGGTTGTAGTCTCACCTCGGGACCTTTCACTAGGTGATGCCTGTAAGGACCTCTCGCACCTCTGGGACGAGGCACGGGAGACTTTCCTAACCTATACGACATTGAATGAGTGACCAGTCCATCCAGGTGTTCACTTAGTGAAAGGTCTAATAGTGCTTTATAAATACAAACACCCGGCTACTTTGGACTCTGTCTGAAATCAAACTATCCTGAAGTTTTCCGTAGCATTGCACTTTTAGATTTGGAGTGTCGTGTGGCATAGGTCTATCTTAGGCCATTGTACAGTAAAGCACACAAAAGATATTGTATCTATCAGTAAATATCTATTTTTCAGACAGATCTACGTAAGGTGAAACGTAATTACCACCACGACAAACTAATTAAGTGACGTTCCATATTGATATTTCCTAGTTATCTGTTCCAGCTGAGCAGACGGCGCAATGCTTGTACATGTAATGCCATGTTTGTACGCCTTACGTTGTTTCTCTTTCGTTTCCCCATTGCTGTTTGTAATGTACATGTAAAACTATCTGAATAAAGTTATAGTTGTATAATTTACGCTATTTCATTGATTCATTGAGGAATCAGGAGTCGTAAAAGCATTCACGTTCAAAACGCCCACTGCCATTAAAACCGCATATGTTATTCCCAAGAGTCACACTTTTCCCACTTGAAAAACTTATGGATAACAACGTATACATTGCTTCCTCTTTCTCAAAATAAAAAAAAAATAAATAAAAAAAAAAAAGCGTAGGTGTGCATTCAGCACTGGTGGTGTGGTATTACCCTTTGTCTTGAATGGTAAAAGCTGATTTCAATTGGTTATTTTAGCCAAATTTCAGTCGGTTAACCTAGCTTTCATATAATACTGTATTAGAGCCTTGCATAGCGCATATATAGTCAAACTGATTTTAGCAAACAATTCTGCATTTAATTAATTCAAAATGACAATAACTTATCAGTATGTCAATTACTAAAGGAATAATGAGTATTTTAAAGCAAATCTCTTTCTAACATACCTAAGTTCATCTGCAGGTTATCAAGTTCATTGGCAGTCGCAATAAAAGTTATTTGAAGTTGACACTATATATAAATTACCAACAATAAAACACGCAAAAAATAAAAATCAATATTCCGAAGAATAATGTTCACTCGATTCAAGTAGGCCCTACCAGGTAAAGAAAGGATGGGAAAGCTTGACACTTCACTTTTTTCCGTAAGTTTCAGTCACTCTTTTACATAGCTATGAAAAGATGGCATAGTGATGCGTGACATTTTTTGGAAAAAAAAACAAAAAACGTTGCACTAGACTAAGAAATATATTCACATGTACAGAAAGTCGAATCATCCACTTTTGTAAAGATAAAAGCAGTGTCGGGAGTTATATTTCTTATATGTTATATATATTTATTTTGTTCCAACGATCTTCTGATAGATAAGCCAGAGTTCACAGATATAATCGGATATTTGGAAGGGAATATTTAATCAAGGAAAGCCTCAGGTATTTCCCCACGCCTTCTGTTGTTGTCCATATCACCACGATAAGTCCACTTGCAAGCAACACTGACTTTATTTATTTCAAATGTCCTCTTTGTGCAAAAGCTTTAACCTCTGCTGAAGAATGAACAAAATCAAGACAATTACTGATATGACATGTCCCAACGTATCAGATCTTGACATAAAGTGACCGTTCAAATCGGTGGGCACACACATAAACGCTTCATTGCTGGACCCAATGACTTGCTCAGACTAAACAGAAGCAAACACAAAGTTTGGTAACACATAAAATATATAACCGCCGGGTAGTAACATTGTTCTCCGTTGATGGAGAGGAACTTGACAAAATTATTCTGGGGCGTCTGGCAAAACATGTTTATTACCTTGGTCAATGTGGTCTGAGATATGGTCGAAGCATGAAAGGTACTGGTATGGTCTTCACATAAATGTAAATGGCGTGAACAGCAGGAAGACAGACCTTTTGCAGTGTTTGTTGCACTAACCAAATAATCTTTCTTCTGTTCTGGGTTCTTTAGCCTTGTTGGTTGTGGCTAATAAAGTCTTATTCATAAAAAAACGGAAACCTCAATCTGACGAACATCAGTTTTCTGTATGGACACAATACATAAACCAGAAGCTGTTGAGGGAATATGAGGAATGAAAATACCAAGGCATGGCTCCTATTACATGTGACCTGGAAAAAGCGAAAATACGTAGTAAAGATAATTGTCTTTTGAAAACGTATTGAAGGGGACGCGCATGTATGCCGCTAGAGTCGGCAATAATTAAGCAGGGGACGCATATGTATGCTTCTGGACGGGACAGATTTCGAAGGCCTGCCATTAACATGTATTCAAGGTTTTTGTACCGCCTGTGATACTGATGTGGGCGCTGGCTGAATAAAAAAGGAGACTGCAAATTTTTTACTCAACACATACATCTTGAAGTAGGATTTTCCGTCACTAATGAATATTGCTGGTGGGGAAAATCTCCTTATGCTGGCAAGGGAATTCATTGTTCATTCACGCAAGTTTACAGTCGATGAAGCTAACCAATCAGTGATGGAGCTTTGAGACAAATATGTTTGCCCCATATGTCTTTGAGTTTCTCTTGATAACTAGTGGCATCAAATTTTTCTAAATTTTATTCAGATTTTTACGAGTCTTTCGGTTTCCGCCTCTAAGGTACATGTACATGGTCTAACCAAAAATATAACCCATGCTACAAACATTCAACATCGAGCATAAAAATCAAAGTGTCTCTACATGCAGGTACGAAACACAAAGTAAACAACCGGTAATATAAAATGAGGAGAGGGACAAAAGCAAACAAGTAGCTAGCTAAAATAATCTAAAGATCTTTTGTCTTATAATGTAGCCAGTGTATCTTTCTTAACATCCTGCTTTTGCGACTTTGCAGTTTCTGTACTTCTTAGGAAATGAAAAAAGGGACAAATGACAGCAAACAATTGAGTATGAAATATAATATCTCCAAGATGTGACTCCCATTGATTTTTGCCTTTAATTACTTATCAAGAATCCAGTTCCATTGCTCGAGGCGACTCCTAACACGCTGCTAATGTAATTTTGCAACGCTGACAAACAATTACTGGTAGTCTATATATCTGCCAATGCTGATAGTCTATATATCTGCCAATAATGGTATGGAGGAAAGTTGTCCCAATGCGAAGGTAAGACTATTCCTTATTATTAAGTCACTGACACAGGGATCTTGTCTCTTTATCTAGGCAGCAAATGCCAGGTCGAAGGCCTCGTTATCTTGGCCTTCTTTAACAACGGTTACTGGAACCAAGGGGTGCTTGGTCTTACTCAGGTAGTCCTAAGATAACAAGAAATTCAATAACATAAACATCAATACGAAATTGATTTGGCAATGTGTAGAGTTGAAACAAATCACCAATACAGTTATAAATGGATATTGACCTTAGAGATTGAAATGGTACTTAAGGTTAGTTTGTAAACAGAATAATTAAATGTAAGTGCCTAGAGGTTTCTATAATATATAAGTGACAGCACAGGGCTCATTTTCAATAAAAATATCGATCTATGTAGATCGATCCAACTCCTCGGGAACTCTCACTGAATGCAAGCAGTTTAACAGCTTAACACACCTCCTCTTGTTTTCAACGAACTGGTATAATCACCAGCTTTTCTGTCTTCTATTCAACGCCAGGAGGAGACGTGTCAATCTTTTAATCTGATTGCATTCAGTGAGAGTCCCCGGGGACTTGGATCGATCTACATAGAACGATATTTTTCATTGGGAATGAGCCCTTGGAGTCCAAAGCTAAACTGCTCTTTTACCTATTGTCCCAACAATAATTAGAATGTTTAAACTTACATGAGCCATCACCATGCCTTTCGCTTTTTCTTTTTTAGAAGCATATGTGCCGACCCACACGAAACAGGTCTTTCCATTGTCCACGATGAAAACATCCTATAAAAATATGACGACAAACAAATTTAAAAAAGAGCTACGGAAAGTGTATTTGATTGCGCGGGAACACACAAACACAAACACACACACACACACACACACACACGAAAGAGGTATATGATAAATTCTTCATGGCAGCAACGCGTAAGAATTAAACAGAAACAGATACGCCTCAAAGTACTAACATTCCTTTATTGACGGTCAGGCTTCGCGAATGAAAGAAGTAAAATTCTAAAATATAAAAATGTGTGCATACTGGCGGAAAGAAAAACTTAAATACATAGGTGAGGCAACATCTATAAGTTTCAATGTTACAAAAAGCTATATTTTAAAACCAATTTATCAGAAAAAACAAGTGTGGCAATTCTTACAGCAGGATCCAAGCGATCTTTTTTCACATCAGCGCCGGTGGCTTCAAGTTTGGTCTCCAGAGAGCCGTGTGCGTCTGTCAGACTTGAAAACAAAATTTGCAATTTTCATTTTTTTTCTACTTTAAATGTCATTTTCTTCTCGTTACGAACGACATTTTTCAGGCGAGTGACTCACTGTACAAAAAGGCCATCTAAAGAAATTTGCTTCAGATGAAAAAGCAAAGTAGTAACCATCATTCCATTCAACCGCCAGGATGCTAAATGCATAACATTTATGTCCCATTTCAACTGATATAAAACCCCTTTTTATTAGTTTATATGTCACTCTTTGGTGTTTCTTTAATTGACAAGGACATCTTTTTATTATGTGCATCTTGGGACTAAAAAAGACTAAATTGCTGTACACTTGGAAGTTTTGGACTTAGTCTGTTACCTTGATTTTTTTTAGTTTGCAAGTCTCAAAATGCACACAATACTTCAGTAGGATATGAATTTTGTACTTATTTTGACATTCTTAAAAATATAACAACAAACCGGAAAAGCTGTCTGTCAATTTCAACGTCCTCGAAATCATCCTCGTCCTCATCTGGCTCATCGTCTTTCAGGGCGTCATAGAAGTCGGACTGTAAGGAGAAACAAGGTTCATGTATGAGCAAAACCGTACAATAAATTGTAAAGTTCTTTTCTTTTGTTTAAAATGTCCAATAAAAGTTAGCTCACACGTGCGATAGAGAACGAGCAATTTAATTCTAATATATTTTTTGCAGCCGATTGCCGTTTGTTAATTGATATGTACATTGGTTTCGAATGCCCTATGCAATGAATTTACTATTCCACAATAACCTCTGCAAGTCAGAAATATGTAGAAATGGTGCCTCCATCTGGATGGTTTCAAGGGGACAGGTTAAACTATGACATACAGTCTGATGCACAGTCAGACGTCTGGCATTGTGATTTTTCTGGATCAGCGTGGAGGGAAGTGAAACATGGGAAACTTTCAAGGTCATATCAAACTTTTAAGCCTACTTATTTACATGTTGAAGCTACAGGAGAAGCACTTAAACCTACATGCACTTAGTATACTGATACCCCAGGCTTCCAACCAATTTACGTCACGAGAAAAAAACAATGGTGCTACATGTATATGCGGTTTAGTCATAATTCCTGTAAACATGGTGCTCTTATTCTATCAGCAAGTTTTAATGGCACTGTAACAGTGTACGTGGGAAGTGGCAAAGTGACAAATGGCTGGCGTTACCATGTTCATTACTTGCGAGGTCACGACATGCTTGGGAAACGTCAACTAAGACACAATAATGAGGCGTGGGCTAACTGTCTGTAAAAGCCTTTGTTAACTATACTCTACGCTCCACAGTTACAAAAAGAAACAAAACCGAAGAAATGAAATATCGTGTAAAACTCAAATTTCCTTTTCGAAGACGGCGTGTAGCTCGCAGCGTTTGGCTCGGGAGTATTATAACAAATAAATATCACACCGGAACTTACGGACGTGGAAAATTCCTCCAGAACGTCAGCTTTCGCACGACCACCGCGCTCACTTTCTAGCTGCTGGCAAAGGGCCATTGCCTAATAATGGTAATGAAATATTGTAATATTCAACAAATCAATAAAAGAGCTGTCCAGAAGGTGCGCTTATTTGTGTAGAAGGTCGACCTTGTTTGTCGTTTGTTACATTTGTTCAAGGTACTGCGCTACCTATGGATATGGATCATTATTGCCAATGACATATAAATCGCAATATAATCTTTCACTAATACTTCAACTCCGATATTTTGCCTGGTGTGAACATTTTATACAATAAATATATAATAGAGCATATAAAATTACATTCAATAAATGTATTTTATTGTTTGTAACCACACTTAGGCATACACACTCAGGCGCACAATAATACTCAAAATACTCAAAACGTACTTTCGTCTTGTCAAACCATAAAATAAAATGTGTACTTTGCTAGCTCTCGCCCTCTCTTACTAATGACATGCGTTATTTTGGGTTAGGGTATCAATTTACACCCGTCACCATTCCCATTTCTACTTTAAAATGGTACATATACTGTATGAGATATGTACATATATGAAAGACCTGCATCATTGTTTCAGTTGACCTCTGCTTGATAAAACAATGTTCAACTGACACACTTTCATGAACAATAATATAAGTATGGGCTGCCACATAACACATAGGCTTAAAATATACACCAAAGTTAGGAAGTGAATGTGATTGATTCAAATGGTTAAAGATAAGTTCATAAAACAACTTTCTAGTTTTAAAAATACAAAATAAAGCAAGATGTTTTAGCAAGAACGTAAGGGAACTAACAAAATATCCTTTCATTTTAAATGTAATTGCATTCTGATTCCAAATTTATGAACAGTTAGGTGTGACTTCTAATGCTTGAAAGCACTTACTTCTTTAGTCTTATTTATTTTATTAAAATTTTCCATGGGATTATGTGTGACCATGTATAAAAATATCTCTTTGCTGTGAAGATAAGAGTAACTGAACATCTTAACTGAGCATCGGTAAAAAAAGAGGAGAGAGAGAGCGAGAGCGAAGAGCTTCCTATTGTCCGGATAGTTGTACACAGTGACTAATACTACCTTGAACCTCTCGTCCTTGTTAGAATCGGTGCCGTTCCACTGGTAGATCTTGAGTCCCAGATCCAAAATGAAGACATCGCCAGAGTTTAGCGACTTCCTCTTCAGTGGGACCTATTTAATATGTGATAAAAATATTAAATAATACTTTCCTTACTGAGAGATAATCATCATCAATTTAAAAGTTGAAGACTTACGCTACCTTCTAGAATGCATCCTTCCTCAGTTTTGTGATAATAATAATAATAATAATAATAATTTATTGTCATATTTATACAAGTATAAAATGAAAATTGGTATGATCTGTCGATAAAATGTAATACAATGGAATTATTAAAATACATTTTGTTCATTAAAAATACGTACTGCTGATGGATAAAAACTATTTTTAGTGCGCGTAGATGCACAAACAGGCTTAGAACGTATGAGAACAACGGTATATTACCTTATTCCAATACGGTTGCGACACTGCACAAGATTTATCAAAATTACTTTGTCGAGTGTCTCTATTTTGCTGCTTACCTCTCTCACTTCAACTACTCTCTTCGAGCCCTGGAAGTGCAACAGACGCGGTCGGTACTGCTCTGGGGTCACGTGCCTGAATCCGGTGTCAGATCCCCCTTCCATGATACTGAATTGAAAGCAACGGAACGTCATATATCCAGTAATACATGAAGATGTTCCTTTTTTTAGAGTTACTGAATCAAATTTATACACTTGTGGAATATTTCTTTAAAAACAACAATACTGCATTTTGAAATCTATTGAAACGTTACTCCCCCCTGTGATTTTGCCTTTTTCAATTCCCTCTCTTCACATTACAAATTAAGTAAAATTATGATGTTGTGTCTTCTTTGCTCCTTGTAACTTTTGTTTTTTTTTTCTGTTTCAATTCTTTGCTTTGTCAATAAATGAAAAAAAAAATTAAAAATTGTTTCCCCTGCAATCATTTCACTTACACAATCTGCTGAAAGTAAGACTTGAATAAATCAGATTCCCAACCCTGCACTTCTCTATGCTGCACTGGTCCATCGTCCAACAGGGTGTCCAGTTCCACGGTCTTGTAGGCCGCAGTACCGTACTCATCCTAAAGAAAAACAATTACTGCATGTTTTGCCACTGTGCAGGTACTTCGCATGAAAAGAAACGTCTCTTGTGTAAAAAAAACGAAAACAAG